AAAAAAGTAAAAAAAATGTTTAAAATTTTAAAAATATTCACAAAAAACAAAAAAATACGAAAACAAAAAAAGTCAATTTTCAAAAAACTTACTCCAGAAAACTCAAACCAAACACACTGATTACTTTTCATATTTTTTATTTATAAAAAAATAAAATAGATTAAAAAAGTTAAAAAATTAATTTTTTATCAACTTTTCAAAAAATCACAATCTTTGCTTTGTTATGTGTTGGTTTTTGTATACACATAGGGTATAATGTAACTAGATATATTGAGAAAAATTCAATTCAAAGGTTGGAAAGATTTTGGGACATAAATCCTCACGTCTTAAGTTTTATTTTTTTTGGAATTAATTATTTGGATGACAACATATATAGTTGATAGGACGAAATTTTCAGACCTAAACATATCGTACCTAATGTCAAGAATGTAGATACAAATCCCCGCATGTATGTAATTCTGTAACTTTTCGTTATCTGATTTAGTGGTCCTATTTTGTAATAACCATTAAAGGGTGACCCGTGGGGTCTCCACCCCTTATAGTGTCTACCCAAGAGATTACTCCTATGTGGTTAGACCTTCTTTTTTTTCAAGCTTTGTTATGTGTTGGTTTTTGTATACACATAGGGCATAACGTAACTAGATATATTGAGAAAAATTCAATCCAAGGTTTGGTAAGATTTGGGGACATAAACCCTCAAGTCTTAAGTTTTATTTTTTTCGGGATTAATTATTCGGATGACGACATATATAGTTGATAGGACGAACTTTTCAGGACTGAATGTATTGTACCTAGTGTCAGGACGTAGATTCAAATCCCTGCATGTGTGCGACTTCGTAACTTATCGCTATATGGTTTGGTGGTCCTGCTGTGTAGCAACCACCAAAGGGTGACCTCAGGAGTCTCCACCCCTTGTAGTGTCTAACCCAAGAGGTTGCTCCTATGTGGTTAGGCCTTTTTTTTTTTTCGTAAGAAAATTACAGTTCGGCAGTTGGACTATAATCTATCTAACTGTACTATTATATATATGTGAGCATTGGATTTGGTGTCATGACTTTTTCTTCTGTCACGTGGCAAATTTTTCTATTCTAAAATAATAATAAAAAATTATTATTCAAAGGCGTGAATAAAGTTTGAATTCAAAATTTTAAATTTTATTAAGAACACTCGTACCACTTAAACAATATATATACATTTTATGGAATTAATTTTTTATTATTAATTTTTATTCTTACTTGTCTGAATTGTACATGTATCACGTGTGCCACCTACTAGTATTTAAATAAGATACAAAGTTTGGTAGTTAGATCGTAATGTTTATATAAGACATACGAACTTGAGAGAATTTAAGTAGTCCGTGAGATTCATTACATATCTTGTTTCAATAATTTAAATTAATTAGTTTATAGAGTTTTCCGTGTATATTATTTATTAAAAAACAAGATTGATTTGATAATCGTAACATTTTATCACATTTGTCTTAAATATATATATATATATATAATAAGTACATTTTTAAAAATAGACCATCTATTTTTTAAGATAAATGCAACAAAATGGAAACTTATAATTATTGAATTAATCTAATTTTTTTATGAATGATATATATTAAAATTTTTACAAAATAAACAATTTAAATTATCAAAATAAAGTCCTTGATAGATCCCACAGACCCTAAAGTTATCTAAGTTCACTACATTCAACACGCTTTTTTAATGAAACTCATAAGCATTTTAATTTTTTTTTTTTTTTACCATTTTTTAACCACCTTTTATGTCAATGTCAATATCAAAACAATGCTCCCGTGGCATTCCTTAGCAATTCACCTAGTTAAAAACATGGTTGAGAAGATTCAATTAGGGATGTTTGTCAATTGATTAAAATAGTTAAATAATAATAATAATAATATGAAAAATCAACTCATTCTTTTTATTTTTTTATCAAAAAAATACTAAAAATATCAATCCTCAAGCCAACTTTAGTTATGTTGCTTTGAATCAGTAATGGTATGAATACACCAACCAAACATAAACAAAAATATTAGAAATTTCAAAAGTTCTACAAAATTTTTTATAAAATGTCTCACATCCCATACCCATGTGAGAAATTTAATAAAACTTTTGATAGAATTTTTGAAATCTCTAATATTACTCAAACATAAAATGGATACAAATATCTTACCAAGAGTCTATTCTATGTCCATTGGGTGTCCCCCTGTGAAACATTTAGGTGTCGTTTGGCACACTTGGTTTTTTTTGACTTTTTTTATTTTTTTAGCTTGAAACTTTTTTGTTCGTTTGGTTTTCTTGTTTGGTTTTTTTGGCTTTTTTGCATTAGAAAGACAAAATTGTCCTCCACTTGGAAATGATGCTTTTTTGACTTTTTGTTTGTATATGGGTCAATTTGGTAATTTTGCATCAAAAATCAAGTGTTTTGTCATTTTGTGATTTTGTAACTTTTTTTTTGTCCTTATGTGGTTATTTAGTCCCAATATATTTACCAAACCAAGGCTTATATCTATTATGTGATTAATTTTCTGTGCACTTAAACTTTCTCAACTGAAATAAACTGACTATTAATTTAAGTCGGAGTACATCAAGTTGGCCAATTGAGCCTTGGTTTGGTTTTTGAGTTGGGACTAAATAAGCACACAAGGACAAAAAAAAGTCACAAAATCACAAAATGACAAAATAGTTAACTTTTGATGCAAAATTACCAAATTGACCCATATACAAACAAAAAGTCAAAAGAGCATCATTTCAAGTGGAGGACAATTTTGTCATTTCAATGCAAAAAGCCAAATAAGAAAATCAAACGAACAAAAAAATTCCAGGCTTAAAAAGTCAAAAAGTCAAGTTTACCAAACGACACCTGAGTCTTGACTTGTTTTTTCTTTCTTTTTTCTTTTTATAAGAAGGAACATAGATTGAACTTAAATAGAAGAGTACAAAATTCTGAAATAATTGATCCCTTTAGCATTATCATAGAATTTAGTTGCAATATATGAGTGTTTTACAAAGTTGGTAAAAAAGTTAATTTTTTTTTTTTTTTTAAGTTTATTTTATCTTTTTATGGGTAAAAAATGTGAGAAATAATGTAATAAAAAATGAATAAAAAACTAAAAGCGGACTTTTTACCCCTTCGTAAAAGACTCCACAATAAGGAAACTGATGTAAAATTGGCAAGCCATCTGGTGCTTGAAGTCCAAAATTTGCAAGACAGTCAGTGCATCCATTAGCTTCTCTGAACATATATGCCTAATCCAGAGCACTACCAATTGCTCCAGCAAGTACCTACTGTCAGGCTATGGTGGACTACTCAGAGATGAAGTTGGCTTCTGGATATGGGGTTACCATGGTTACCTAGGCCATTGCACTAGCCTAGAAGCTGAAATCTGGGAAATATATAGAGGACTAACCATTATTATGCAAAAAAGGCTGTCCAACATCATCGTTGAAACTGATTCTCAAAATGCAATGGAAATGCTTAGAGAAGGTGCTTCCACTAATTCACCCTATCGAGCCATTATTGAAGATGTCAAATTCCTACTCAGTAGGTGCCGATGCTCTATCCAGCATACTAATAGAGAAGGAAACCACAATGCTGATTGCTTTGGCCAACATTAGAGTTAATCAACAAGAACATCTTGTATTTCTTGAGAACCCACCTAGCTCTCTTCTTTCTTTTCTTATCACTGATATAAATTATAATGAATGCTAACTGTCTAAGGGATTAACTTATCCCAAGTCTGCTCTGTTTTGAACTCTTTGTTTAACTTATTCCCATGAATTAAAAAAAAGCAAGTATCTGCAGTCACAATACGTATACCCACTTTTCAGTTTTCACAAGATTGAATTGGTTACTTGGTCATGATCAAGTACTTAATCATTAATTCCTATAATTATCCCCATCAAACCGATAAAACATAAGAAAATAAGGTTTGATTTTGGATTCACTTGATATATATGTTGAGGGGCAACTATTTTTTATTAGCAAACAATTTTTTTAGAAAGAAAAAGAAAAAGAAAAAGTAACAGTAACGAGGAGAAAAACGTCTTTGCATCAAATTGCAAATTTGCAAATACTATTATGTATCTGAAACACTATTTTAAAAAATGAAATGTGTAAGAGTATCTCTAAGGTTTTGTTAATTTTAAATTTATTTTTAAAAAAATTGATTTTATGTCAATTATTTCAATTACTTCATCAAATTTTCATCAAAATCTTTTTAAAAAGTTCCCTTCTTATTCCAAATTTTCATTTTCATTAAATTTGACTTTTAAAAAATTTCTTCCTTAAAAATTCAGTATGTTTTCGTTTTTTGTTATATTCAATGAATTTTTGTACAATTTTTGTACATTTTAATATATATATATATATATTAAGTGCATCTAAAAAGTTTTTTTAAAAAAAGTATTTTAAAAATTTGTTAAATATAAAAAATAAAAAATTTAAATTTAAAAAATTATTTTTGAAAAGTTCAATCTAAACAGAGTATTAGTATTGATTAATAATTTTTTAGTGTGAAAACAAAGGGTGGCCTTTGGTCTTCATGGTAATGAGAGGGAAGGATCACCGCAATTTAGCAAGGGAGTCAAATCAAAAAGAAAAGTAATATGAAAAGGTTACAAAAAAAGTTAAAATCAACCCAAAAACCATTACGGAACTAGTACCACGACAACTAACCTTGCTAGTACAGAGTCCGGGCTACAGAACAAAAATGAAAAGAGGCGTTTCGTAGAAACCGAATTCACTTGATCAAACAGTGAAATTAGGACACGAGATAGAGAACAACAAGCGTCAAGTGTGGGACAAAAATAGTGAAGAATGTGAATGAGACATCATCATATTCATATATGGCTACATCTTTGCTTCTATTCTCCATTATTAATTCATTATCTCTTCATTCCACACCCTCTTCTTCATCATCATCTTTTCAAATTCTTTTTATTTATGGAATTGATTATTTTAATCTTTTATAAAATAAAAAATAAAATATATGTAAAAAATAAAATTGGTACTAAAAACCAAAGTTGCAGATAATGAACAAACCCTTGAAAGTTGGACTTACAAAAATATGAAAGCAATAAGTGAAAGCGAGAAATTATTGGATGCAAATAGGATATCATGTGGCATGTCACATGACGCCTTCAACCAATCACAAATACTGTGGCCTTTCATGTTATCTTCTCATCACCCAATACATAAATGTAATCTCCACTCACTCAATCAATGAGAGAAGAGAAATGTACCGCATAGCATTTACACTATTTGCACCCAAAAATTTCTCAGTGAAAGCACAAGCAATGGCACCTGGGGAATTTTAGTCAAGTATATTAATGGAAACCAATTTTGATATACAAAGAAGTGAATTTACTAAAGTTGCATACATACAGTATACGTACATTAAAATGGTCAATTTTTTTGCTTAATACAAAGGCACGGCTATGCGCGGCGGCGGCTTTGGTGGCTTCTGCAGCTCTAGGACGATCTTTCCCGCCCGTGGGGGCTCGCAAGGACACGGCAGCGCTATGAACTTTGGCATCCGATCTCCGGGCATCAACACCGGCAAGCTTTGGTTCTGGTCTTGCTTTGAACGCTGTTTACAATTTCAAAAAAATTAAAATAAAAATCGTTAGAAATTTCGTAATAATTAACCATAATTACTACTAAAACACGAAGAATATAAAGGACTAGTAAATTAAAAAAATTAAATTACACGTGTATATAAGAACATAAAATTTAGAGTACGCGATTTGTCTTAGCAGCCTGCTTGGAATGAGGGATGGGGAGAAAAAAAATTAAATTAAAAAAAAAAAAAGAAAAAAAAAAAGGAGAGAAACAGAACTCTTCATCACTTGTTTAGATGGGTGAGAACGTGAGAAATAGTTATCTTTTTTTTTTTTTTTTCACTAAAAAATGGATGGTATAATTTATTTATTTTTAAAATATTTAAGAAATCACAATCAATTTTTTTTTGTTTCTTACTTTCGGTGAAAAATCATAAATCTTGTCATTTTAGTTTATCAATCAATCATTGTAATTTCACAATGATTAAAAAATTATAAATAAGAGTAGACGTCCCAAATACTTGAAGAAAAATATCAAAATAAATTCCAAATCCACACAACCCAATTCAAACTTTCTAACAACACCATCAATGAAGAAGAAGATGAGGAATATTACAGTGCAAGCAGTTGTAGGTTTGGAGGGTGATCCATCACCGTTATCTGCCTCGAGATCCGTATCGGCGGAGAAAGATCGACGGAGGGATTGGAGTTTGTCCCAGTGGTAACAACAGGAAAAGAATCCACACAAGCTGAAGATGACGATCAAGAGGAGGGCTGTCCCGAGTGGGAACCCTAAGGACGGTCGAGATCCGTCCATCCGGGGTGGCGCGTAGTATGGACTCTCCATTACTTGTACTGTAACTAAATCTCCCTCCTTCTCTCATGTGGGGAAGAGAAACCAAAAAAGAAAGTAAGAAAGAAAGAAAGAAACAATGCTTGCTTCAGATGTGTGTGTTTGAGGCAGCATGACCAAGAGATGGGTGGACAGAATTTATAGAGTGGGCTGGAATCTATTCACAAAATGTGTGAATAATACATATTACTACTGTTTGAAGTAACTTATAAATTTATATAGTATAAAGTTTTTATTTTAAAATTGTGTATCACATATTAGTGTAATTTCTTCTTACGAATTATAAAGTAAAAATAATATAAAGAAATTTTAAAAAGAATAACAATGTCCCATATATATATATATATTAGAAAGCAAGGGAAAATGTATTTTTACTGGATCAACTTCCATATTTAAAAATTGGGATATATTACCGTCATTGTATTTGAGATTTAAAAACATATATAATAAACTCGATAATTTTAACATAATTACACTAATTTTTATATTTAGTAAGGTTACATGAACTGAAACTAATATAATTGGTGAAAAATACAAAAAAGTAATGTTATACAAATATAAAATTCATACATAATGATGTGGCTCATTATAAACCTTTCACTTTAAAATAAAATATCATTGAAGATGAAGTTATTTACAATAATGGCATTGTCATATCACTCTTGTCAGATTTTTTGTATGAATTTTACGTATATTTAAAATTTTCTAATACAAAAATAAATAAAATAAAACATATTTTTTGTATAAAAGAGATGGTAACATTATTTTTTATTCATATAACTAACAATTATATGAATTAAAATCTCCATGAAACTCAATGTAAATATGTCGAAACTATAAGGCTTTTTATATTTTTCAATGGAGGTTAATGTTAAATTATATTGACCATCCTTGGATGTTTGGAGAAAATATAGTAAATTCTATAATTTTGACATAATTACACAGATTTATATTTTAATAAGGTTAAAGAAACCAAACAAACACACATGATATAAAGACATATGTAAAATGCACATTTCAATATAAAGATATGATAGTATTATTTTTTTTATTCATACGACTAACAAATTCAGATTAAAAAAATAAGTTAAGTATTATATAAATTAAAATATTAAAAGTGAGTAGCATAATTACACTAAAATTATGAAATTTATTGTATTTTTTAAAATTTTAAAAAAATGGATATAATTTACCAATATATTTTGGAAAGAATAACCCATCGGTTAGGACAGCAAAAATTATTTAAAAATTACAAAAAATTAATTTTTTGATTTTTTTTATTTACAATAATGGCATTGCCATATCACTCTTGTCAGATTTTTGGTATGAATTTTACGTATATTTAAAATTTTCTAATACAAAAATAAATAAAATAAAGCATATTTTTTGTATAAAAGAGATGGTAACATTATTTTTCATTCATATAACTAACAATTATATGAACTAAAATCTCCATTGAACTCAATGTAAATATGTCAAAACTATAAGGCTTTTTATATTTTTTTCAAACCTCAATGGTGGTCAATGTTAAATTATATTGACCATCCTTGAATGTTTGGAGAAAATATAATAAATTCTATAATTTTGACATAATTACAAAGATTTATATTTTAATAAGGTTAAAGAAACCAAACAAACACACATGATATAAAGACATATGTAAAATGCACATTTCAATATAAAGATATGATAGTATTATTTTTTTTATTCATACGACTAACAAATTCAGATTAAAAAAATAAGTTAAGTATTATATAAATTAAAATATTAAAAGTGAGTAGCATAATTACACTAAAATTATGAAATTTATTGTATTTTTTAAAATTTTAAAAAAATGGATATAATTTACCAATATATTTTGGAAAGAACAACCCACCGGTTAGGACAGCAAAAATTATTTAAAAATCACAAAAACTTAATTTTTTAATTTTTTTGATTTTTTTGAATTATATTACCTGTCTACTATTTTTATACAAAAAAAATTAAAAATTCACAAAAAAAAAAAAATTAAGAAGTTAATTTTTCACTAACTTTTTCAAACATCACATAATTTTTTTTACTTATTTGTAAATAGTGTGAGCGTAATTTTTCCTATATTTTATATTTTGTGTCACTCACATTGAAGAGTGTGAATAGAAATTACGAGAGGCCATGTGCAAAGGGTACACCTTGTGTCCGGGCCATGGTACGGAATGAGTGCAAGTGGGGTCAACTGTTAGTGCCTAGCATGAAAGCCTTGATTCATTTGCTGATTTTGGTTTGTTTTTGTTCGGGAAATGGACAGGGAGGAGATAAAATACAAAAAGAAAAAGATGTAAACATAAAAAGCAGAGAAAACACTTTTTGTAAATGTGAAAGCAAAAATAGAAATTTGAAAACAAGAGAAACATGTGCCCTTTAGGTGGCACTGACCGGGGAAACCCAAACCGTAGTGACAAGGGCTGGCTCTCTCTTCTTACCTTTCGTTTCTTTCGTATCTTTTTGTTATTCTGTCAGAAAAATAGCATGGAAACATTATTTATAGAAGATGAGAAGGAGTAGTGCATGATAGTTGGACAGCATTGACCTACCTCACATTGAGATCCGGCCACGCCTCATTGAAGCCCGACCGTGCATATTTAGGCGCAGCCGAGTCTAAATGATGGCTCAGAATAGTGTAATTGTAGGAAAAGCCAACCTTTGCCTTGACATACCACAGTTGTATTTTGAGTCTTATTTTGTTTGTACTAAGTGTTTTTTGATATTTTTTAGTTGTTTTATTTTGTTTTCCTATTATCGAGTTGTGTTTCACAATTTTGTCTGGTTATGGGTAGTTATCTGATTCAAATGAATGCAAAAGCAAGTCTTATGGTCAAGAGATGGTGAAACACCACATATTCATTTCACTTCTCATCGATCGAGGAGATGACTTTGACCCCGTACGACTTTGCGATGCTCACCGGCTTGCGAGTTGGAGTTGGCGGTCCGATCCTATGTGATCTTGACATGACACAGTGGAGAGCTGCACAACGTCAGCTTCTTGGAGCGATCCCAAACACCACCAGCCATGGAATGGTGAGGTACATCTGGTTCTTCGAGTACTTCTTCGACTTTCAGCCTACCACTCCAGACGAGGTCACCCAGTATACCCGCGGCTTCCTTATGTATCTCCTTAGTACTATCTTGTTTGCGAACAGGGAAAATACCGTTCGGCTCATCATGCTAACCCGATATCAAATGTTCAAAATTCATTGCTTGACTACGTGCTTTATCGCATGTCTTGAATGAAATCATATGTCATGCTCATAGCCGGGCCTATAAAAATACATAATGCTTGTGTTGCATTAGTCATATTGCATAAAGTTAGGAACATGCATTTTTTTTCTAATTTTGTTGCTTTGTTTTGGCTCGAAGTATGAGGTGAGCTTTTATTGCTTTAGCATGTTGCATTGAATGTTTTTGTTGTTATGTCAAGCATGAATACCATGAGAGTAATTGCTTAAATGATATAATTGTTTGAATGCCTATGGATGAAGACTAGTTGTTTAAACTCAGATGGTTTGATCATTGTCTATTTTAAGCCCACTTTTCAAGTGGCAAATTCACAAAATAATTTCAAAACAAAATATGAGATCAAGTGTTCTAATTCTTACAAACTAGTCTATACCTTATGTGCGCATCACATAGTAAAATAGCTAATAAATTCGAACAAGAGCATATAATGTAAATAAGAAACACATCATGATTAATAGAGGTCGATCTTTGATCGGGCGAGTGGGGTGCTCAATTCATGACCTTCCCCTCTCGTACCTAAGTTCTCGAGCCGAGACACTTTGGTGATAATAGACTAATGGCATTTGGCACGAGTCTCGGGTTTCTTAAGTTTTTCAAAAATATTTAGGTGGCGACTCTATAATCTGACAAAGCAGTCCATTTTTGGCATTTGATTCAAAACATCGATTTTTCAAAAAGAATTGTCAGATTTGGACTCTTTTGAGTTTTCACGATTTTACATTGCACTTGTGAAATCAGATTCAGAACTACAAGTGGAGTTCGAACTGTAGGGTTATTCATCTTCTGAAAGGAGCACGAAAGGAAGGTAGAGACGTATTCATTACATTCATTAATTTTTGTCCAAAATTATATGCGGAATCATCAAGCAATCAATTTTCTCATTGATGGCTTTGGAAGCAATTCTAACCTTCTCTCGAGGATTTTTCGTGACAGAAAATGAAGGAAAAGACAAACAGAGCTTGAACAACTCTATCTGCACTATTTTTACTTCAGAACACAAAACAGAGTTTTGCACAAAATTGAGGCACAGCCGGACTTCTTTAGGCCTAGCCAAGCTTCATTGAGGGTCGGCCAGCCCTCAATGTTTGGTCAGCAATGTATTTTTGCAGAAAACAGAGGGTAGTGGCTGAGGTGAAACAGAGCAAGCCTAGGGCAGACAAAGCTATTCTTGAACATTGTGCATGTGCATGCATGTGTAACAGGGCCGCGGGGGACCTCGCTACAGCTCGGACTCGACTTTTCGTCAGTCACGGTTCTAAGTCTGAACCAAAGAGTCCAAATCCGGCAAATCGTTTTTGAGAAAAACAGATTTTTGAAAGAAGTGCCAAACATGGACTGCTTTGCCAGATACAGAGTCGCCACCTAAATATTTTATTTTGGGAAATTTAGGAAACCCTGACTCGGTGCCAAAAGGCCACGTGTCCGTCATCACCAAAGTTGCATCGGCTCGGGAACTTGGGTACGATTAGGGAAGGTCACTTCGTGAGCACCCCCGCTCGCCCGATCAAAGATCGGCAT